GTAGGGAAACATTTTGACTTTTCAAGAGCATTTTATCAACTAGAACGTTAGAAAGTAAGTTAATTTAAATGGCAGCAGCTTTTTATTCTTGCTAGTAATTTTTGACAGGGGTGTTGGTTCAATGCTGTGTTTGCCCAGCAAGCAAAACTTTAACCAGGGAGCTGGCAATTCTAGCCCTCTTATGGTGGTTCTTATACCAGCTGCAAAAATAGCTGAGTATTTCATAAAGCAGTAGTAAATTCTCCACAGCCCATTTAGGTAAACTAGAACCTGCCTTGATTTTCTTTTTTTGTAGTGTGCCAGGCTGTGACTTTTCTTTAGCAGTTGAGCAGCTGTTGTATGGGTAGCTGAAGTGTTCTGGGGTGGAAGTGGGAACCTATAAAAGGGTGTGTGAGAAGGACAGCTGGGGTTAGGCATCTGAAGGTAAGCCATCCCCTGTCATCTCTCAGCACAGGGAAGCAGCTGTTCAGATAAGCTTAGACAAGTAACATTATACAGCTGAAACATAAATATGTGCTATGGACTTGCACAAGCTCTCGCTGTAAATGCTTTGCTTTGTACAGACTATCATTGACTTGCTTGTTGAAAGAATTGCAACTAAGGTGGACTAAATATTTTTGTGGAATTGTATGCTTTCTTTACCATAATCACCTGAAAGGAATGAGTTAAATGAAGTAGGAATTTATGTACAGAATCGAAGAAGAAAAACTAGAATAAAGCTATCAAGAGTGAGCAACCTATCTGGAAAATAGCAAGACGGGGAGGGTGAACCTGTTTGATTTAACTTTATAGATGTGCTTAACGTGCTAAATGCTGAAATAGCTTTTTTTTTTAAACTTCTAGCACCATAGAGAACAATAGCTTAGCTCAATTATTTTCATTGTGGAGTATTTCCTACTTCAGGGAAGTGAAATAAGTCTGTTTCTTGGTTCTGTTACAGGCTTGCTTAAGCTGAGCAATCACTTGGGATACGTACGGAGGGAAGGAGCCGGGGGGGGGAAGAGGAAGCAGAGTTGTGATATATGTAAATGTTCCTGTGGTACCTACCTAATAGTGACAGCTGTACACATAGATTCCTGGGTTTTATCACATACTAGCAGCAAGAGTCTTCAGTTGGTTTGTATTTAGTAGCGAGCACATGGTGAATGCCTATAGGTGCTCCTAGCCATGCAATTTAAACCAGTATGGACCTACTGGCATGAGCTGTAGTTTTATCCAGATTATGTTGGGTAGAATCCGTTTAATGTGATACCACAAAATTTGGCTTTTTATGTTTTTGAGAAACATGGTGTATTGAGGGATTTAGGTAAAATGTCAGTGGTGCTTTCAAAACTAACACCATGTAAGTGATATTTGAATCTCTAAAGCATGATTCTTGTCCACGTTCCATACTTCTGCAAATGTTGGCATGGGTATATGTTTCAACACTTACTAGCTCATATGTAAGTGCTATTATTATCACGGGCAATAATTTTGTGTGTGATTATAATGGGAAAAATGTTTCGGCATGTATCAACTGCTTATTTGGCATTAATTTTAGTTGTCTGGGTTTCTCTTTTTTTTTAGGATAACATCATTACAGGATATACACCATGCCCACCAGAGGGAGTATGAAAAATATATGGAGGACATAGAAAATTCAAAAATGACTGTCCAGGAGTTAGAGAAGTCTTCAGATGCAGCTCTGAATTACAAGTTCTACAGAGCCATGAAAACATATGTAGAAAACTTGATAAACTGTTTGAATGAAAAAGTATGTATATGTTCCTCTTTTTTTTAAGTGATAAAGATGCATTCTGTTAATGAAAGTGAAGGGTTTTTTTGTTTGGAAATGGTGAGGGAAATCACTTAGTTAAAAACCAATTCTATCAGAAATTTTAATGTAACAGAAGCAAAATATATGGAAAACAAATCAACCCTCACCCTGACCTAAAGTGATGATCAAACTGGTATAGGTGTATTGGCTTAAGCTGTGGTCTCACTAGGTTCTGTTGGATGAGAAGAAAATGTTACCGGAGGGAGTTTTCTGCAGGTCTAGTAACTAGAGTGCACTGAAGTTGAATGAGAGGTGTGTTGCTTAAATTCACTTGTGGGATCTCTCTAGATGTTTTTACTCAGGGTTATATAACAGAGGTAGTAAGGATTTCATGTTAGATTTGAGTTGAGATTGAGTTAGCAGAGCTGTGTGAGAATTTGTCTACCTTGTTGGCTGCTTATGTTTTCCTGAACTGCAAACTTTGCATATTTAAAAAAGGGGAGGAGCTGCCTGAAGTTTGACCTCAGTGAAAGTAAACTGCTGTTACCCTTAATAAATAATGCTATGAAATCTAATTTATGTCACGTGATTACATTGCAATTCATAGAATCAATCACAGAATACCAGATCAGAAGGGACCTCAAGGATCCATCTGGTCTAACCTTTCTTGGCAAAAGTACGGTGTAGAGAAGATGGCCCAGCACGCTGTCCAGCTGAATCTGAAGTGTCCAATGTTAGGAAATCCACCACTTCTCTGGGGAGATTATTGCAGTGGCTGATTGTTCTCATTGTGAAAAACTTTCCTTTGGTGTCCAAGAGGAATCTCCCCAGGAGTAACTTGTACCCGTTACCACTCTTTATGTAACGTCAGAGAGAATTAATGGATAAGTTTTCTTTAATGGCTAGTGGCTCAAAAGCAAACTGAAAGCTAAGTAAGTACAGCAGCAGTGTCCTGTTGAACCCTTTTGTATGAAGTCTTGGGTAGTCCCGTGATGAGCAACTGGCGTTTACAAAGCAGTCTGAAAAACTCCAATATACTACAAACGTACTTTTCAATCTGTAATACTTTGGTTCTAACCAAGTACTGAAAGCTGGTTTTTGTTCATTATTTTGCATTTTATTTGATTGCAAACCTGATTGCTGTTTACTGTATTTTAGCTGAAATATATTAATGAGCTAGAATTGGCTGCACATGTACTTCTTCAGCAAAGAGCCATGACAGTATTGAAACGAAGGCAAGATGAGCTGAAAAATGAATCTGCTTATATTCAGCATCTGACAAGTTAGTATGAAGTTAAAAGTTATTTTCTTCTTGAAACGTTCACTCTTTGATCAGAAATATACAACTGCTTTTTTTGGGTGAAGTGTTTTATTCTCGCCTTTGATCTCCTTTCCCCTTCTGTCAGTAGCCATGTTCTACTATACCTCAGTTGAAATCCTCACTTCAGTAAGGTCTGCGATGTTATATTTCTCTGGCTTAATAGTGAATGTAACATGACCAAATACTTCATCAATTTTGAGTTATTAAAGTCAGCAGTTTCCCATCAATGTTTAAAAATAGAAACACAGTTGGTTTTCTAGTAGGTCTTAAGTTGCAGAAAGCTTGCTGATGTAGGATTCTGTGAATATATGAAAAAGCAGCGTGTTTACTTGGCAACATCACTCTTACAGGAGGGGTGTCTTTAAAGCTATATGTGTGCTCACAATGGAAATTTCAAACTAGGAGGTGAAATGTGAAGGGAAGGATGTGACGAAAGAGGCCTCTTTGTGTAAGGGTTTGATAAAAAACAATTGTGTTTTACTGGGGTTTTTTATGTCACTGTAGGAAAAAGTATTACAACTTTCTCATCTCATGTTTTCTTTCCACGTCGATGTATTGTTTGTATGCCATGTGAATATTTAGCTGCTGCAGTTTAAAACAAACCCAGTTTCCAAACCCAAACCCTTTAAAACTGTTTAGGCAAAGCCAAGAGCAGTATGCTTGGAGCTGCTGGGAACAGATGGAGGCCAGATGCACCACCTTCTGATGACTACTAATCGTATGAGTGCAGTCTTCTCACTACACAGGATAAACTGCTGATTAGATAAAGCTAGCAGCCTGTATGATTTTGTAAAATGGCATAGCAGATTGACAGCAGGTGTTAAGAAGAAAAGGGTAGTGCCATAATAATAGTTGCCATTAAAATGACTTTACTTCCAGCTCATTATGAATGAGACTACTTGCAGGTTTAACAGCACTTCCAATTATTTTTTATGTTCCTAGTTGTATTTAGAGTTTTGATGAGGAGGTTTGATTTTTCTTTGGCTGTTTTCCAAATGAAGAACAATAGAAGGAGAATCTGTGTTTCCTGTTTGAGAAAATAGGAACTTTAAAATCATACCATTTCATTTTTGGGTGTTTCTGTTTTCTGATAGGTGGGAATGATAAACAAACTAATGGTGGATTGGAAGATAAGACACAGCTTCTGGAAATGTGTGAACAGCGAAGGTAGCTATTGCATATGGGTGCACTTAAGTCTGATAAATGTACTGTGTACTGACTTCCTGTCACTTAGGCAGTGATGAATGTAAACCTGTAGGATTACTAAATGAGATTATAAAAAAAATATGCATTTTCTTTCCAAAACTTGGACTAGTTGGAAACCGTCTATTTGTTAATGTCATTCTCTTCATGTTGATTTGAATTTGAATGGTAATAGATCCTGTTATTTTAAATTAACAAGTCTTAAGTGAGGCAAAACTTTTATTTTCCCTCCTGTTTTAATAAATAATATTATGGCCTTAACACACACACAAAATATTTCTGTCTATTGTGTAGATAGCAAAAATAGGTGATGTTGCAACTGGGAGGGTGGGTGGTGAGTGAAGCAAAGCAACATCTAGCCCCTACTCTGCTATCAGTGTAGGTCAGACAGATACTAGGTGTTGGATATTGGTGTGTTCAGAGAGTGGTACCAATTTTTTTAGGTTATTGGTTATTAAAACCAATAGTTACTGGTTATTAAAACTTCGAAAGTTTTACAGTTGCATTGGTGCCTCAACTCATAACTGCTTTGAAGAGGCAAGAACCTTGGAATTTTAATCAATGAAAAATGGTATAATAAGAACTTCCACTTGAAGCAGTTAACCTTTAATCCTAATTGATGTGAATAACCATATAAAAGTTTTTATGCAATATCACTTTCATATCATTTATCATTTTCCTGTGGCAGAGATGCAAGCTATTGGTTTTGCAGCCCGCTATGATTCTTGGTGTCATGGCGATAGTTTTTTGAACCTGACTGGCACTTGGATGCTATCACAATTTTTATGTGGGTTGTTGCACAAGTGATCTAGAACTGAGATGACAAAGGCTGAGAGCTCAGTAGTTTACCAGACACTAAAACTGTCAGAGACAGTGTCCAGTACCATGCTAGATGTTTGGTGTTCAGGTGGGATGAGTTACTAGCCTCATCAGTGGGAATGAGGTGAGGTGAAGGTTGTTACATGGTTCGTAGGGGAGATCAGAGGTGTTGCTGTAACCTCTTTTATGTCAGTTCCCAAATCCCCTCCTTCTTCCACAGTTTGTGTGGCCTTATGGTTACATAATTGCTATCGCTGCCTCATTGTGTTTCCTTAGGCTGTTGCTCTAGCAACTTGCTTTAAGTATGTTTTTTTGGAGTTGGATTATCTTTCATTACGCTTCCTTCTGCATACATGGGAGAGGATAACTCGTCTGATTTCATTACAAAACACAGGACTTGCAGACGGCAAGTGAGAGAGTGTTCAGGAGAGGCTGATCACCATGAAGGCATGTCAAGTGACGATGAGCTGACTCCAACAGAAGTGAACGAGTTCCAGAAGAGCAAAGGTTGGTAACAGTCTTAATGTGATGTCCTAGAACAAAATCTTTCTGATTTTTTAATGATTTTTTTTTTTAAGGAAAGGTGAAGAAATACTTCATTTGAGTTACATATTCTTAGTTACATGCTGTAGAAAAGAAATGCTTTTGGACAGTTCTGACTAATGACTTGGGAAGAATAGTTGTATGGTTGTAGAATAGTTGTATGGTTGTAGATTTCTTTTGGTATGAGTTACGTGGTGGTGGCATTACATGTGACTGTTTTAACTAGAAGTAAGATCTTTTAGATTGTGCTAAAGCTGATCTGACAGTAGTCAATGCAATGCTACAACGTATTTTGTATAATCAATATGTTTTCTGAAGATAGAGTGAATTAAAGGTTAGTGTTTTAATTACCTTGAATGAATGGATGAAGAGGAGCAGGGAAAGGCATAATACCTTTTCTCCAGATAACAGCAGAATGGTTTTCATGTCTGAAATTTTATCATCGTGGTAAAAGGTTTGAAACATAGTAGTTGTATGTGTCTCTGGAATAGGTCATTGAAGAAACTTGCTTTTTTTTGGTTTTCTGACAGGGAGCCAGTTTTAAAACCTGTTTCAGTGTCAGGAGTGTCAAAGATAAATGACAAATGCAATTATCATACAGATATTTCTTAGGTCCTATAGATGCATAAACTCTTCAGCTTATGCCTCAATAAGTTCTGTGATTGTTTCTTTTTATTCCCAATGAATATTATCCATAGATAACGTTTTAGAGGATAGTAGGAAAGTCTTTGAAGATGTACATGCAGATTTTTGTGACATCAGAAAAATCCTGTTGAAATTCCAGGAATGGAAAGAGAAGTTTCCCGACTCTTACCGTGAGGCTTATATCAGTTTTTGCCTACCTAAGCTATTAAATCCGTTGATCAGACTTCAGTTAATAAATTGGAATCCTCTTGAGGTAGGTGCATCAGCTGACTTTGTGTTCTTCAAAAATTGCATGTGTGTTTGTGTGTTAGGTATTAATATGAAAAAGAGATGTTTTTCAGTACATAGCACAGTGCATTAGAAATTAATAGGAAGATACTTTGTTGGTCTCAAATTGAAGCATGTGGTTGGAATCTTCTTAACTTTCTCCTTTCCCCTTATCTCCAGCCCCTTTTGCAACACCCCCTGAAAAAGAATTCTCCTGAGTTCTTTGAAGATACTTTAACAATCCCACCCTTTAAATTCTAGCTTTAAATCTAGTTTTCCTGATTCGCTGTTTAGGCCCATTCAGTTGAACAACTGACAGAAATCATCTTTTAGCAGAATTTTACAGAGTTGGAAGAGATGCCGTGGTTCAGAGCCATAGAAGAATTCAGTGATGCCAAAAACATACCTGAATCAAAAAAGGATGATGATCCTGATGGAGAAGTTTTGCCTAAAGTGATTGAAAAAACTATTCTTCCAAAAATTACAGGTATAAATAAGATTGTCTTGGAAATGTTCACTGCAGCTAGGCAATCAAACCTGAAATAAGTGATAGCTATCAAACAATGTTAGTTAATAATGGTGCTCCAAGATGTAGCGATTACGTAGTTCCACAGAGTAAGGCTTAGGTAGCCTCTTCTGAAGATGATTGGGAGAGGCTTAGCTTTTGTATATGTTTACTTCTGTTACATTGTAATGCCTTGAAACTAGAGCGGATAACTACTTGCATATTGTGAATGAAATAAATTCCTATTTCTTTTTATAGCATTTGTAAAGAGCGTGTGGGATCCTTTATCTACTTCACAGACAAAGAACCTTGTACAACTTTGCAATAACATCTTTGAGAAACAAGTCCTTTCCAAAAATGAATGCAGTCGAGGAAAAGAGGTAAAAGCTCCTGTGGTACTGGAGAATACCGCTGTGTGTGCTTTCTGTGCGTGCTCCTATGGACACTTAGAACATTGTCCTGAAGTTGTTTGGTTCTGATTACTTGTTTTGTCACTTTATATTAAGAAGATTTAACAGTTAAACTTACAGCTCTCTAATGCTCTCCTTATTGAAGATGATGGGAGATGGGACACTTTTGAGGCAGAAATTAACTACTGTTCCTAGGAAAATTCTGCCTGTACCTACCAAGAATCTGATTGTGGATCTAATCTTGCTTCACCACAGTAACAATGGTTAGAATTTAGATTTCATTTAATTATCTTTCAAAATTTGAGCTTTAAATGCTAATAATGCTCCAGTAGTCAACTCCTTAAACTTTTATTTATAAAGTAGATCTAGAATTTTGAAATTTGAAAATCCCCAAATGTTAGTTGGCTAGTAGAAAGACTACTTTGTAATCTTAGCAATGTTTTAATAGTTCTTTTATACAGATAGTCACTCTAGCATGCCCTCTTCAGCCTGAATCTGGTTTTATTCTGATATAAATCTGGAGGTTTATCTGGTATAAAACTGATGAAATGGGATGGATGTTTAGGCTGTGAGTATGAAAAGGAATATTTTTAAGAGAATGTTTATGCCTTCCAACTGAGCCTTCCAAACGTTGCTGATTTGAAACCATGAGTTAAAGTGGTACAATTGATGTTAGCAAAGATAGAGTTTGTACAGAAAGTAAAGTAAACTAGAGCTTTAAACAAGTAAATAAAAAGCCTTTAAAAAAAAAAAAGGTAGGTGGCAATCTATGGCACCTAAAAGCATGTTGCCTAAAAACACATACTCTCCTAGCTATGGTGATTTTTTTTTTCTACATAGAATTTCACAGCTTTTAATGGAGTCCTATGTGCCTAACTTTATTTTGTTGTTAATCTATACAGTTTTCCTGCTGCCTTGTGAATTAACATGCAAAAAAAGACCTCACTTAGGGAAGTAACTTCATCTTTAAAAAAAAAAAATCCTCAAGGTTAACTCTATATAATTACAGCTGTGATTTGTCTACTGTTTTTAATATCTTCATGGTCTCAATGTGTATTATATACAAGTGGTAACTGTACTTATCTCTGATTAACATATTACACTTCTAGATGAGCCAAATAACCATTGAAATTGTTACAAATGGAAGATGAAGTCTTCTGAGGGCACATTAATAACTCTTTTTTTAATAGGAGTTGATGGACATGATTGTACTAAGAATGAAGAAATCTATAGAGGAAGATGTCTTTGTTCCTCTGTATCCTAAAAGGTAGGCTGACTCTGGAACTCTTGTAAACTTTTTTTAATTCCTCTACCCTTCTCCTCTACAGATGTAGATAAAATATTACAGACATCCATTAAGAACTAATGGAATAAACATGCCTTCTACTGTTTTATTATAGGAAAGGTTATGAAGCCTTATTCCTGATTATGAACCCTTTCCAATAAGGTTAACTCCACTGACTTTAGTGCTTTTTTGCTCCTGTAACCAAAAGTTTTTCAATGTATGAGGTCCATAGTCTGGTTTTAGCATAGCAACTTATATCTGAGGGCCTGTGTTAGTTTAGGTGGTCTGGTGTTGCGTGCATGTGTTCCGTGATTCCTCCTGTCATTCCTAAAGTAGGGTTTTTATTGTTGATGCGTATTACTAGACACTATTTCAAAGATGTGTGTAAGTAAAAATCTGTGAGATGTGGGTTTAAGATACAGCTAGGAGAAAAGCTTTGCTAAAGCTGGCATAGGATGTTAGGTTCTAAGCAATGCTGTTTTGATCTGAATCTGTAAAATGTACACACAGGTGTTTTCAATTGGAAATTTATTGGAAATTGTTTCATAGTAGTTGTATTATAATGGATTCAAATTGACAGCTGTTTCCCTAGACCTTTATTCTGGTTGTGGCTGTCACTGCTGCAAGAATTCCAGAATTAACATTCATCAGTATCTGAGAGATCAATTGTCTATTTGTCTTCTTTTAAAAATAATCAAACAAACAATCCTTATTTTAGCTTTTTTCTTCTTTCTCTGACCAGCACTGTGGAAGACAAGTCATCACTATGTTCAAAATTTCAAGAAAGACGGTTTTGGTCAGCTGTTAAGGTAGAGAAAATACATCTGGTTTTTTTTTCTTTGAAATTTATTTTAGTGAAAAAATATTTTGCACTCAGGAAATATATCTTCAGGCAAGTCTAATCCCTGGGAGATTGATACATTTTTATTAGGATGGATAACCATTTTTCTCAGTGAAGGATGTGTTCTCTGTGCAACCTGCGTGTGAGGATTTAAGAACAAACTATAAATGAACACTTCATTTCTGTTTACCCAACTGGTACATCTTCTGCAAGAGACTTTAATCTGACCATTGGTTCCTGTTGGTTCATTTTTTTCCTTGAGTGGGTCAACCAGGCCTGTTGGCCTTACATCATATTAGTTAGTCACTGTCACCCAACACTAAGGGGACAGGTTCTTTTAGGGATCCTGGGCAGAATGATGATGGCACTAAGTTGTAGGTACAATTAAAACTTTATTTTATTTGAACAGAATTTTATGATCAGCATAGCATTTCATGATCCGAGTAGCACGGTATTTTTATAACTAGAATCGGTGTACCACAATTTTATAAGTAGCATAGCACAGAATTTATAGCACAGCATAGCTTATGTTTCCTAATCACCTGGACTCTCTGCAGATCGAGTCAAATCTTAATATTTACCTTGCAGTATCAATAATGTAATAGTTGTAATCTAGACTAGAAACATGTAAAGGAATATGAATTGCTCAATCCTTGGAGGAAGCAGAGGATGGTGGAGGTGTCCCTGGCCACTGGTGGGGCTCTCCAGCAGCTGTTCTGGTGCAAGTTGCCCTTAGGACTTGTAACTGCTTGATTTTATAGACAGTATTTTGTGTGCTGTTACACTTCCCTGTTGCGTGACAGGGTCATCACCACTGCCGGGTGCTTGGGACCTTCAAGGCTGCTAAGGAGAGTAGTCAGCCTGCCACCCAGGAATTTTGAGGCTTGCAGGGAGGTGAAGAAGTCTGTTTGGTTCGTCTACTTGGTGCACAGGACCTTCATGATCTGATCATGAGGAGAAAGGGGACTAATATGTGACCAGTTTGGTCACGGAGAATGGCTGTTTACCTTACAAAATGGTGTTAGTTATGCTAACCGTTACTGTAGAATATAAGCATGTTGGTGTAGTTTTACTTTTGGAGTGCTGAGTTGGGAATTTCTGAATGCCTGTGATTCAGGTCCTACTTAAGATGTTGTTTCCTCTAGGAGTAGATTTGGATTCTTACTGAAGATGAGATTTAAATGCATAAAAATCCATTAATACCCCAGACAATATTCTAGTTCCCCTGCTATTCATGATGCCTAGCCCCGCATAGGCTTCCTGTTGTCGTGATGCAGAACTTCCTTTCTGTTGAAAAGCCTGGAAAATTGGATGTGTTGAGGTCTGTTTTGCAGAATACTTGCCACCTCTGCTCCTGGGGTGAGCTGCTTTGCAGGAATGTGTCATGGACAGATGAACAGAAAGTAGGAGGGAGCTTAATACCTTGGGGGTTAGGACACCTAGCAAAACCAAGGTAGACTTGGGATTCTGATCCCACCTTCTAGGACTATGTTGTGTTTTCCTGGAAGTCAGACCTGGGTGCTTTCCTCTGCAGACTGAGGTTTTCTCCTTTTAGCTTTTTATTTCTGTCTTCACTGTCACAGTGGTCATCTTTGAAGGGGTATAAATGGAGAGTAGTTTAAAGTGTTATCTGTTGAATAGTTGTCACATCATTCTTTCTGGAGTGGAGGCATGAATTCAGTCACTCCAGGATAAATAGTACTGCAACTCACCTGTGTTAAACTCTTGGGATCTACTTAATACTTAGACTAGTGTAACTCATCTGTGCTTGAGACTGCTCTCTGGCACTGAGACCCACTGCCATTGTGCAGCCCCCCATTTGTGCTATTAAGCCCTGTCTTTCATTACGGGTTGCCATCTTCACCATGCTTACCAGGAATGGCCTCTAAACCACACCCAGAAGTTGTATGGAGCAATACAAATCAGCTTGGGTGAGAAGTCAACCAGGAACTCTTCTAATGCAAAAGTACAGGTGATGGAAGTTCAGCATTTGTACCCTGGTATTGTCTAACTTGCCTAGTGTAGATGCAGTGTGTAGCTCAAAACGTGCTTCTTGTCTACTATGCTGTGTACTTTCCTGATTAATGCTGGCCAGTGGAAGCACTGCTTTTTCTTTAATCTGTGTTTTAGTTGCTCATGCAGTTAGATAGAAGTGTCCCATCAGATACTCCAGAGAAATGTGCAGAGGTGATTGGTGGGCTTTGTGACTGCTTTTTCACTGGTGATTACAAAGATAGTACGCTGTGTCTATGAGGGTAAAATACCTTGAGGTTATCAGTTACCTGAAAATTAACCTATTCTGAGTTAAGGGAAAAATAGTCATGTTCTTACATCAGACTCAAAAATTACAACAATTGTAAGGATTTATAGTGATAGGGGCAACAGAAGAAAACTCTCAGTACTTAATAATAGTGATAGCAGCACAAAGAGATATTTTTGTAGTTGGTATGAACTGTGTCTACCAACCTCATCACGTTATGAGGAACTGTGTGTACTCTTGGTCTTCAGCAACAAAAATATCTCTTTGTGCTGCTATGAACTGTCTACCAACCTCATCACGTTATGAGGAACTGTGTGTTCTCTTAGTCTTATCTTCAGCAGATGTAGTAACCTTTTTACTTCTGTCTTGGATTCTCTTGACATCTTCCTTAGAATTGGATGCCACTTGGTTTTGGTCCCTATTTCTTGTAGGGGGAGTGTATTAATACTCTTTCCTTTATTCACGCTTTCAGATTTGACTGCTAGCTCTTCTGTGTAAAGCATAGTTGTCTTCTGTACTTGGGCCTTAGCAAATTATTAACCTATTAGAAGGGTAAAATGCTCTTCCCAGCCACGGGAGGTCGTATATACGCATATTAGGGTACAGTTCATAGGCACATATAAAATTAATTATCCTAGTTGATAAGGTTATTTACTATATGCAGCTTACTAGTTGCTAACTGACAGTAAGTTTGGAGAGTGAATCCTGGGCTTTGAGTACTTAAATTGGATGGACATAATACTATCTTTTTATCTTTATCTTACATAAAACTTGTAATATTGTGGTTTAGCACGCTTCCAGCCATCAGGTATACATATTCTCTCTTTCTTCATTACTGCAGCTGTTCTCCAATGTTGTTCTTTTCGATGGGATCATACAGGAAGATACGGTTCGTGATTTGGGACTGAGCAAGTTGCTGAATCGTTACCTTCTTCTGAATCTCTTAAACACACCTCTAGGGCCGGATTATATAGAAAAGTGTAATAAGGTAAAAGATAACATGTACATTGAAAGAGGGTGTATGCTAGAAGTTCAGTGTGTTTTTTTTTTTTAAAGGTCAAAACTGAAGCTGGAATATTTTAAAAATTTAAAATTTAAACAACATTTAAAACTTTATAAATTTTTTTATGACCTTGGTGCATAAAAGCATTTTAGAGCAAATACTGGTCCACAGATTCTTAAGAATAACTACTTGTAGGGATAATCAATCTTTGTTTCAAAGAAAAAACACCCTACTGATAATGACTGAATCTGCCAGAAGGTCCCCATCAGAAGTGATGTGACTTGGTTAGACTGAAAGACTTTTCTTTTTGTGTGGACAGGTGGTTGCGTGCCTCCCAGAAAGATGGTTCCGAGATCTTAAAAGTGGATCAACTCTCCCCGAATTACTGAACTTCTGCCAGCACTTGCTGCAACGTGCCTGTATGCTACACAAGAATAACCACAGGTAATAGATACGGCTTTCCTTGGGATTCAAGTACTTCCTCAAATACTTTGTGTTAAATATTTCTTAAATTCCTTAAGTCTCACATATCTGACACTTTCAAGGATGTTCTTGTCACACACATGATGGAGTGCTTCTGCAGTTCTAGTTTGATGTGGTAGTTTGAGGTGCTAGATGTTGGGTACTGTTAGTGATCAGTGTAGCCAAGGAGAGATCCCTGACTCTTTAAAATTAGTAAACATAAAGCATACTTAATTTGGGTACATAAAAGTGCTGCTATATAAATTTTCTTTTTTTTATTTAGTGATGAAACAAGAGAAATTCTTCTCCTGCTGGTGAAAGTCAAAGCTCTGCATATTGTTGAAGACTTCATTGAAGAGTATGAACTTGAACACCTTAAATCGATGATTGGGAAATAGAAAGTTTTGAAGCATCATTTATATTGCTGAAACAAGCCTGCTATTGACACTAAAACAGTTCTAATACAAGATTTAATTGGTGGATCCTGCCTACTCGAAGATGTAGTGGTAATCACTGTCCTATTGTTAAATACTTGAGGTTTTTTTTTCCCAAATGTCTTCTACTGCCACCTACTCCTAGGTTAAGGAGTATTTTTAGAAGTTACAGTTGTCAAAGTAAAGCAATGGTTCAGGCATTCTAAAATGCATGACAATGCTTTATTGCTTTATCCTTTTTCTGAAAAGAGAGACAGTGCCTGTAAAATTTATCACTGCTAGCAAGTAGACAACTTTACAAGCTGTTTTCAGTATTAATTGCTAAATATCACTCTGACTCAGCAGTCATTGAGCTCTTCCAATTTGTGGTCCACAGTGATTTTTGGTAGGGTTAGTGTTAAGCCATCCCTATTGAAAAAATGTTGCAGGGGTTTTGACCATGATACAGAAACAAGGGGAAGTCAGTGTGCAGATAAGGAGTTTGAATGAGGGTAATTGTGCGTTCAGTGAGGTGAGGAGTCTGGGGAATAGCAAACCTGTAGTGAAGATGTAGCATCTGATGCACGTTGCAGTGTTGTACTGGAGCGATACCAACTGAACTCGTGGGTGCGGAGCTGGAGCTGTCGCACAACCTGTTCTGTCAGGCTTCTGACAACAGACATCTTGATGAGGAGCATCGGAACAACTTCAGTTACTTACCAGAAACTGAAACTCTAGCAAAGTCTTCCTTTTGCTTCCCAGTACTTCATCATACCCTTATTAGATTTCTGATGTTTTATAACTTGTGTATATTTGCAATAAATATTGTTATAGAATAACAGGGATGCTTTATTATAGAAACTGTAGTGCATCACAGATTCTGTATGTTTACTTGTGACTATTTCTCCAAAATCTGGGCCTAGAATTTAACTCTTGCAGACTTCATCCCTATGATTTCTTTTGTATTTTTTTGTTAAAAATATATTTTTATAAAATGTTAATTGTAAATAGCTTTGATCAATGTTAGATAAAAGATTACTTTTTAAATAATTGTTTTATTTTGAAAATAAAGTAAAAATACTTTGCTGTGTTAAAGACTCCTACAGTTCAGTTCTTTAATACCATTCTTGTCACAGGTTACAAGTATGAAAAAATGTCAGCCAAGCTTAGCCTTCCACTGCCTTCAGGAGTTATGAGTTAACATTGCAAATCCTGCTTTCTAACAACAGTGAATTTCTGTCGCTTTTCCTCTGTGAATGCCAAAAAAATGCAACAGCTGATCAGCAATTGCCACAAGCTCATGATCTCATTGCTTTTCTCTTATCCTTTGACTCATCCCAGCTAAAGGTTTCCCCTGAAGTAACCAGCCTTGTGCTATTATAAAAATGTAACAGATGTTCTATCACAATTTAGTGCTGTAGCTGTTTCTTTCTGGAAGAAAGATTACTTGCAATGACCTGTAAGGATGGGAAGGCAGTTAACACTGGCGCTCAGAATCCCTGGGCACTTCTACTATGGCAATACAGTGTTATGAAACCAGCTGCCCCAGCATTGAAAACCTACTGTGACACTTTGTGAGCACTTCATCATGAACCTTACACTAATTCAACAACGTAGTCTGCCTTGGCGCATCTGGCTCAGTTCTTCAAAACTGGTTTCAGAGCATTTGTATTTCCTGCAAATTGGCAGGTAAGTATTGCTGCTCTCTCAGAAACAGGTAAATTTTTTTATGGGAAAACTAAACAGTGCATACTCTTGAGAGTCTACTTCCCTCCTACAGCCTGTTTCAGAAGTTGAGTCAAGCTGCTCTACAACTGGGCACTACCTAGTCTGTAAAGAAAGAAGTAACAAATACTCGGCAATGACAACACAGCTAACTTGACTGGGTGGTACAAGCCCCTTATGTTAACTGTAATTTAAAAAAGGCAACTTCTCATTTCTGGAAAAGGGGTGAACATAGTATTGCCCTCCTCAGAAAAAGGAGTGTCTATTCCTGAAAACAGAAAATGTGTTCAGCCACAAAAGTTTGTACACTTTGAAATCTTGTGGAAATGTTAACTTTATTGTTTATATACAAAAATTGACAACTGATATTTGCTTTGCATTTACTGCATGGATTAATTCAGTAATTCCTAGACTGCAAAAAAACATTATTATTTTTTAAGCTCTTCAGTCACTTCTTTCCAAATTTTTTCTTCTATTTTTGAAGTATCATATTCTCGCAGCATATCAAACTCTAGCCATGGCTGGCTCCACTTCTGTGCTTCTTTCATTTTTTTTTCCGGTAGCTCAAACTTTATTCCTTTTATATTGTATTTTGGCCTTTCCCACCGTTTTGACCATGGTTTAGGTTTCATTCGTACCTGTAGCTACAGTGAAAGATTAAAAAAAAAACACAAAAATAACACCCAAAAGATGTTAATCAGAATTTTGATTGTGAGCTTAGTAAAACATGAAACAACTGCTTCTCTAACAGAAGGAAAGCGAGAGAAAACAGAGCAATGTGTTAGGGGAACTACTACTTTACACTGTTAGGAGAAAAAGAATTTTTTTGTGTCCATGTGACTTGTCATAGTATCTTGTAAAACTTTTTAATTAACACTGTCTTGATTTATTAGAGAGTCCTTGAATTGACACATAAAGTGAAGTTAATTCATCATTTGTGGTTCTCCTCCTGTTCCTTATTAACGATAAAGAAAAGTAGCATGATCGGGAAAGGAGAAATGATCACTGTCAGTTACTGAGTTACAAGACAACACTTTGACAGGGTCTGCTGGTTTCTGGATCTTCTCTGAGATGCAGATTTTAGCTGACTCTTCCAATTTTACCTCCCTTCCTGACACCTACCACTCCCAAATCAGTAACCACACTAACCATAACATTTCTGTTAGAAAAACTTCCCTCTTTGCACAGTGTTACACTGAGGCATGTGGAGGCCACTGCTCCTTGCATGTCTTCAAAATTAACTACTGAGGATGGTAGGTATTTACATTCCCAACATTCTTCACTATAGAAATGGCATAAAGACTTGCCTTATTTTGTATACTTTTGTCACCCTGGTAGCTAATGTAGCAAAGAGCTGTTAGCAGCCTTCCAGGATATCAGTCAGATATGAAAGTTACCTAATGATCCTCCCCTTTCCCTCTGAAAGATGCAGCTCCTACCTTGTTTATGGGAATTTCTTCATGGTCTAAACGAGACACAGGTTTCATATTCATATCGAAAGTACTATATTCAGGGAGGGCATCTCGCAGGTACATCAGGTTGTCATCCAGCCTCTTTTCCAGCTTCAGAACCTCAATCGCCTGGATTCGAGGATTGTACAGTTCATAACATATTTCAACACCTTAGAGAGAGAAAGTCTGGTTTAATGAACCAAATTAATTAGAAATACTAACGCCAAATTAGTATTTCTTCAGTGTCATACATTCCTGTCTTATTCAAGAACTGCTTTTTACTTATCAGAGAACTACAATATACGGTGCTGTGTGCACATGTGATTGTACACATGCATTGTGTTTGCGCAGGCAAAGGCAAACTTCTCTTGTAAGTCAAGTCTTTGATAACAGAATGGCTTAAGAGACATTGAATGACTTGAATTTAAGGAAGACGAGCTTGGGTTTTAAACTTTACTCCCTTTTGGTTACAATGGCTGTTACTACCTCTCACTGTATGTGTAAGGTATATAAAGAGACACCTACCCCCTTCACATTTGCTCTCAGAGCATCAGTATTTGCATCGCCAGCCATTTTGTCATAAACTAGGATATGAACCTATTATAAAACTCAGCTAATCTGTTGCTTGTTAAACAGTTCAAACATACGTCCCCAGTTCACGTGAATACACAGCGCTGAAACTGGGCTAGCATTTACATGGCCAGCAGTAGACTGCCCAGGCTCAAATATAAGCACAACCACAGTGGATCACATTCATTCTCCTCAGAATACAGATCTAATAATCACTAAGTAGACAGACAAAAGATTACTAAGCAGTTCCATGCCTTCAAACATACAGCACATCAACATCTCAGTGTATAGAGTTTTAACCCTGCAATATCCCCGAGTAGGTAGGCTCACAATTTCACTTTAATCTACTGTCATCTTCTCCAGACTAAATTTCTACACCAGATCTCCCTTCACATACAACTTCAACATTGTTCGCTTAATATTTCTAGCGTAATTACCACAGCTAAAAACCCACCTTGATCTTCTATAACATTCCGAAGGACAAACGTAGCACCGAGTCCTTTTCCTCCTCTTTGAATGCAGATGCCTACAAACCGGTTGGCTTTGTTATTGGCATATGGATCTGCAGTAGTAACAGCGAGTATGCTGCCTGCCAAAAGAAAAAAAAATTAAAATAAATAGACCGTTCAAGTAAACACGTACCAAAATGAGGGAGGAGAGTCAGACAAAGTGCATGCATTTAGATACATTTTGAAAATGTTTTATTTTCCATGAAAACTGCCAGAAACAGAATAAACTTCTAACATGCCCTGAGTTAATAGATGCTAAAGTGACTCTGCAGGTTAACTATGAAGCTTCTTCACCTTCACCTTTATTTTTTACTCTTCACAGTCCAAATTGAATACAAATACTCTAAGGTATTTTCCTTTCTTGAGCTTTACTGGTAAACCATACGCTAAAGTGCCAGGATTGAAAATTAATAGATGCTAAAGTGACTCTGCAGGTTAACTATGAAGCTTCTTCAGCTTCACACCTTCACCTTTATTTTTCACTCTTCACAGTCCAAACTGAATACAAATACTCTAATATATTTTCCTTTCTTGAGCTTTACTGGTAGACCATACGCTAAAGTGCCAGGATTGAAAAAAACACATAAGAAACACATTAGTATTATATTTCTAACAGAAACTGGATGTAAATATGAAATGAAAATACAAAGTAGCGTTAATAGAAACACGTACTAGTTGATCTAATACAACTGCTACTGTGATGTTCTATGCTATTCTAAAACATTTGACC